TATCCCCCCCCCCCCCCCCACACACACACGGTGGAAGTCCCTATGGTCAGCTGGGCTTCCCAGTTTGGTAGAGGCATCTGGAAATAACGGAGACCCTGCACCAGACCTACCTAGCCTGGAGAGTAATCAGCTACAGACCAGTCAGTGGGGAACCCTTTTAATTATTTTAACTGTCCTGACCATTAATCACAGTGGGGGACACCCACTGTCACCATCAATTTAGAACACCCATTAATTTTGCCCATTTTTTTAAAAAAGCAAAAAACAGCCAAGGATGGTCATGTTACTGACATACTGGTCTGATCCCATTCTTATTTTCTTTTGCAGGAAGCCTGCTATATTATACTCCTTGGTCTTGGAGTTATGTAAGTGCAGTATCTTTGTAGCTAGACAGTGACATAAATGCTTGTATGTTGTAATACTTTCTTTATTCATTTCTGAAACTTCCAGTTTTTGAGACATGAACCAGAAGGTACATGATGGCAGTCATTTGTATTAGGTTTCTGAGACTTTGGTATCAAAACAGAAACATTCCCTAAAGTTTGATTTTCCCTCCCTGCCCCCCTTTTTTTGAAGTTAATGAAAATGCTTTGTGTGCAGTATGGATTTCCCTCATTTTATGATAAAAAATACATGAAATAGATTGCAAAAGGTATAAAAAGTTCCATATATTGAGATATGAAAGGAGGCATAATTTGGCTGTGAAAACCTCCACAAATAACAGGTTCTTGGGTCTTAAATATAAATGTTGTAGGGGCATTGCTGTTGTACACATTGATGCTCAAAAAGCCATGAATGACATAAACCATTTAACCTAAAATGTATGCACCAGAACACTGGAATTTGTTTTTAATTTTTTATTAGCATACTCATTATTACAGTTCATACTTATTCTTTATGCCCCTTATGCAATATCTCTCCTTCCCCCTCCTCCCTTTAATAACCACAGGTTTGTCCTCTCCATCTGATAGATTAACCATTCCTCTGTTGGTTTGCTGCCTACACAATCTGTCCAGTACTGAGACAAGTGTGATCAAGTTCTCCCCTATTTTTGTAAAGCAGATGCTGCTTCTGTTACTCTGGAGTGTGCTTTGTGAAGAGAGAGGTCAAGGTCCTCTTCTTTTTTTTTTTTTCCTCTGCTTGTGTCAATGCAGTTGAGAGTCTGGCGTGCCTTCTGCATGATGGCCGTGACTGCTGCTACAGAGACTAGTCGCTTTTGTGGCAGCCATGGCAATTGTGGTGGCTACGGAGGGCTACTCTCATGGAAATGCTGGTTTTGGTGTGCTCTTGACCTGGTTGCAGCTGGGTTCAGCTTCCCCTGGCTCCATACCTCGGGACCCCGGTGGAGCCCCAACACTGGAATTTGAAGGCCAAATTACTTTAGGACCAGGGAGGGGGTGACTTGAACTACTAATAGCTGGCAGGTGTGGAAGAAATGTACTGAGCTACTACTAAGAAGGACGTGCTGTGCTTGTTAAATATTTTCCCCAATATATATTTCCCCCTGAAACACTTTATATGATGACATGGCAAAGTTCAGTGCAGAGTATTGGAATCTAATTCATTTATACTCTACTTCTTTTCAAAAGATTGAATAGCTGCAATAAAATTAAAGTTAAAGAGATTATATTCATATCTCATTTCTTCTACTTTTGACTCTGGATCTAACCAGCACATTTCCCTCATCTGTAAAAGAAGGACCCAATTTATATTGTTCCATTAAGAACTGCTCTGGTGAGCTAACAGATATGGAAAACATGTAAACTATAAAATGTTATACCCATTAAAGGTATTAAAGTAAAGGGCTAGATGTCTCATGGGATATTAGTCAGCAGCATTTGAAGACTATATCATTGTTGGGCTCTACTTGAGAAATGAGGAATTTCACTGACTCTGTTTTGTGAGCATATTGGTGTCAAGTGTAGGAAGGGCCTTTCTGAGATTCTTGAGTAGCCCTCAGTATCCTGATGTCGCCTTTGTGCTACCCAGAACAAGAGATGAACGAAACCAGAAACATAGTTTGATTTTAAATCAAAAGTTATGACTTTATTTTTAATTTTAATACACCGGAAAAAATATTTCTTTTAATGTCATGAAATAAGCACTTGAAAATAACAATTCCAACATTGCCGTGATTTGCTCCGTGAGGCTTATTATAGGTGGGCTTCTATCAGAACACAGGCTCTGGGGCCCCTGAGAAGGTGAATCTTCCAGAGGTTTTCAAGGTGGCAGCAAGTAACACCCTGCCTGAACATCTCCAGACAGGCAAGGCCTGTCTGAAATGAACATGACCGGGGAGCACGATTAGGCTACCTCTGTAGCCTTTTTGATTTTTTGTCCACTGGGAGAAAAAGTCTCAAGTGCCACCGAGCATTGGGAAAATAACAGCATTTAAATACCTATGAGTTTGACCTATATGGGTTGCAAATGTGGCTTGACCCTGACTTATAGGACCAGTTTCTTTAATTAATCCAGTTACATTAGGAGAAGTTTACTACAGTGCAGTTGTGGCTTGGACTTCCAGTGAAGCGTGTCTGATTCCAAGACTTTTGCCTGCCCCACCTAAAAATCAAAGCATGGTTACTAAGACCTCCCCAAACCCACTCACGGATGTGCTCCCACTGTCCATCTTTACTGCTAGAACTTCTGTGTCACTTTCTTAAAAGAGTGTATTTCAGGAGGAAGGGAAACCTGGGGATTCCCCCCACTGCCCCTTCTGTGAGCCCTGAATTTTCAAAGTATCTGAGGATGAGGAAAGTAACTTGATGATTCAACAGGCTCGTGAATAGACTTCAATGCTCTGAGCAGGTGTACTTAACTGGCCTCTTTTGCTATGGCTTGCAGATATTTATACTTGGAGCCTGTCACAACAGACATTCAAGAAAATGCTGTGACTGCACTGGGACACTTGTTTGCCTACGCAGAGAGGCTGTTGGTTTATTGGCAAAATGGGACCTAGCACTTCATACTGATTGTCGGAACAAATTAGGGTATCATTGCTTTATTAGCTCTCATTTAACTACAGGCTAAATGCTGTGGTGCATTCTTTGTAAAATCTCTTCCTGATGGCAATGGGTCTGAGGCACAAAGAATCAGGTGTTGTATATAAGTATAAAATGGACAGAAGAATAACTTTACAAAGCTGTAGGAGACAATGACTCAGCATGAACATAGGCTCTACTATCATCCCAAATTGTTAGCAAAACATTTATTACTGAAAACAAAAAGACTGGAAAAAAAGATACTACATTTGACTACTGGAAAGTTCTGGACTTTCATCACACAATTCTCACACAGTGTTACTTTTCGGGATGGAAACTTTTTCAGAGAAGTGTCTAAAAGAGACGGACGTGGACCATGCCAATACAATTCAAAGGTCTGAACTCTGGGAGGCAAAGTCTATTTGGTCTTTTCCACTCTCAACTGCTCTCTTGAATCAGCACTTGACCAATACAACAACTCTGTTAAAAAATCCTTAACCAAACTGGAAAAAAGCCCTCTAAATGTACTGTCGCTGACTCAATTGTGTGACACAGACATAGTCTCTGAACAGAGGCTGCTCTATCGGAATAAAAGATAGGAACTTGAGCATGCTGTCTCTCCCAGGTAATTCAAGAGTCTGGGAATATGACCAGACTTCCAGAATATTCTACTCCAGTGTAATTGACTCCAGATGCTTTGTTACTCTGTGACAGGTTTTATCATGAAGATACTATAGGTGATTTTTTAAAAAATTCTGTGGGTTCTTCTAGGTTTCTACTGTCTTTCTGTTTAATTCTACAAAAATCTATTCCAGTGAAGTCTCTGACTCAGTCCAGATACATGAATCTCTGGACTAATCAGTCTCTTTACATAAGTAAAGAGAGATGGAGAAGTGAGGGGGATATAATCAACCCTTCCTTTCCCTCAAGCAACATTTATGTATGTATTCTACCTTGCTGCCTAAATTTTGTAGTGGAGTATGATTAGAAGGATGAGAGTAAATTTCCTGGAATAACAAATCTCAATCCATGATTTTAATTTGGTACTTTGGCTTGGCATTGGATATAAATAATATAGTAGTTGCTCTTTTCTCATAAGCAAAATGAGAAGGTTCAATTAAAACTCCCTTGGTCTATAAATAAAGTAGTTCTCACTAGAATTTCATTGCAAACTCATGGACTCGAGCTGATGCTCAGACCAAATGTACAAAAATGTGTGTGTGTGTGTATGAAATCAAGGACTTTTTCTCAATGCAGGAATGATGTTTTCACCATACTGGAATTGGAATGCCATGGAAAATCTTCAATAGGAAGATAATCTATTGCAGCATAGTGGGGCAGCTATAAAAAGTTGCCTGCCCAACTTTTTCTGGAATGTTAACTGATAGCAGGATTATCTATGTGGCAGTCAATTCTCTGGTAGGTTTCAGATTTGTCATGGGCCAGTAATCCAGCCTCGTATCTTTATATAATTAAAGCAGCTAAGCTGAGATATTAGAAACAATATACTGAACCTGTAATAACGGAATTTCATTTTTTAAAAAATGTGTGGCTTTTTTCCTCCCATGATATAACGTCGGAAATGCCTTTAGATATATTTAACTAATTTAAAAACTATTAGACATTTGACCTGTAAACAAAAATTCTAAATTACATAACAAGTGAACACAAGCACGAACCTAATACCAACATGAAAGTGCTTTAGAAGCAATCATTTAGAGTCTTAAGGTATATGCTCATTTCCTTATTCTAACCTGCATTAAAGGATCTACGATAAATCACTGAATTAAATAATTAAATTAAATCACCCAGATGAGCCTCTAACTGGTCCTTCCATTAAACTCAAGTCAACTGTTATGTGGCATTTTCCTCATTTTAATTATTCTGCTCATTTTCTGTTATATGAAAAAAGGCATATTGCACAGTATCATGGATTTGCAGACTCAAAAAAACGTTATTAATAGGTTCCTAAGAATCTATAGTTGCTACAGCAGGACCTATCTTTTCAGCTCATGTCAGTTTTTGACCTAGTAATAATACATTCCTCCATCAGTTGTGTCTTCTCTAGGAACAAATGTCAAGACATCATAGACGGTTCACATCAATTTAACACAGCTGTAACAGCCCCGCTCCCCAGTTCTTTCAGTCATGACTGGGTTTGCATGGATTCTTTGTTCATTCTTCAAACCATTCACGCAGAATGGAATAAAACTTTATTCTTTTAAAATTCCACACATGAACAGGATGCCAAAAAAGCCCTTGCCATCTCTGACAGAAAAGCAGAGCAGCTGTTTCATGAATGACAGGACAATTAAAGCTAAAATAATATAAAAATAATTTGAAAAATCCCTTTTACTGTACACTCTCAAATAAAGCAAGATAAACGACAGTATCTTTTTCTGCTAGCTAGAAAATGTGTTTCTATTCATTTGGGCTTTGAAGTTGTGTACCCCGCATCTGTGTGCATATATGCATGGTTATGTGTGTATAATCTACACAGTGTAGTAACCCCTAATATTTTCATCTAGTTAGCGTAATCATTAAGCTACTTAACCAATTGGAATACTATTATATCACATTGAACAACTTTACATAATTGTTTCTTTGAAATACTAGGAACGTTGACACATTTATTTGGCTTGTAAAGGACTGAAATATTACAGATAATATTATCTAGGTTTTTTTTTTTTTTTTTTTTTAAAGAATATGGCTCTTAATAAATTGATTTTCTGAGTTCCAGAGCGAAAGTCCCTTTTAAAAAATTTCTTAAGCTGATTTGAAGCAAAAATGATGTCTTCTGATTTGGCCAAAAAATATGATGAATACTTTCTATCATTTAAAATTTGAGGGATAAGTCTATAGGGGGTCCTTTGTTCTCAGCTATTTTCAGCCAAACTTGCTGTTAAGTGTGTTTGTCGAAGTATCTCCACTCGGCCAGCAGAGGGCACTTTAAACATCTCTACATTGCTTGGGGAGCAAATGCAAATAATGCAGAAACACAGTGTTCACCCAACATCAGGAAGAGCCCTGGCAGATTTCTTTTTTGAAATTCATAAAAATATAGAAAATGACGGACTGTACCACAGGATTTCATGGGGAAAGTTATGAGTATGTGTGAAGTCAAATACGGAGGGGCGCACACATTGTCTGAACTCCTCTTCCGCTCACCTGTACAGGTAGTACAGAATCCACTTTGAGATCGTCTGGTTGAGTTTTTATCTTTTTGACTCTGTATTTACTCTTCTGTTCAAAAGCCTGGTACAACTGAACAAAGCATAATGTTTCATATCTCACTGAAGAGTAGAAATTACAGGTCAACCATCAGACACGCCCCGGGATGGGGCTGCGCCTCTGGGGCCTGGGCTGGGTTGTTTCCATCCTGCCAGAAAGAACCTTGGGAAAGTATCACGCCCCACTTGGTTTTGGCAAACTCACTAGCCTGGCACTATGCTGTGAAGGGGAAAGTATCCGTCTTTTCTTTTTTTAGTTGAAATATAGTTGTTTACATCTGTTTTCATAAGGAATGATAAATACATCTTTTCTCATGGGGGCTACAACAGCTAAGTTTTCTTTAAAAGGTTCTAACATCTCAAAAGCATTATTGTCCTACATATAGACCCTGTCTCTTCCCTTATCTTTTCTATTGGCTCCAGTTTAGTGTCAAAAAGATTAGAAAGGATTGTGTGTGTGCTCGCAGTTTTTAAAGTAAAATTCTCTCATCCTTAGAGAAATATAACACTTAGTAGATACATTTTTTATGTAGTGTTAACAGCCTTTGTTTACCTTCTCTTTCTCTCTCTCTGCCTCTGGCTCACTTTTGCTCTCAGATGTCTAGAGTTGACAGATAAAGAGGGAATGGGGTCTTCCAGCAGCAGTGCTTTGAGATGGAGGTCACTCAGTGAGTCCTCACCCAAAAAGGATCATAAACTTACTGGGTTACATCAACCTAATTATCCCTAAGCTGCCTTGGGTTTTGTGTTTGCTCGTATGTTTTGTTTATTTTGTTGTAGCTGCACCATATGTGATTCCTTGTGCCATTTTCTTTTGTCTGTTGTTTTTCTTGATGACCCTGAGCTACGGCTTCCTCCTCAGTTCCAGCACTATTCAGCCTTCATTGTTTTCCTAATTTTGCTGATGTAGGCCTCAAAGAAGAAATGGCAGAAGAGCACAAGGTAGCTGAGGTACATGAGTGAGGACCAGAAGATGTTCTGAAAGTGAGAGTGACACTGGTCATGCTGCATCCAGTAGAAGACCAGGTAGTTAACGACACAGCCCATCAGCATCTGAGTGATCTGGGATAAGGTGATGAACATGGCAAACTTCCGGGAGACTCGGAAACCTGCTGCCCGTAAGACATAGTAAGAGTACATGACGGCATGCACACCGTAGTTCATAGTCATGAACCAACCACCCCCAGCCACCATGTCTTTGTAGGAGTACCATGAGTACAGGAGCACAGTGATGTGGTGGTACCAGTGCAGGAAGATCAGCTTCTGCTTCCTCAGAATAATGAATATTGTATCTCCTGGAAGACAAAGAAGGGAGAGAACGTACATGAGGACCTCGACCACGATGTTATGGTAATCTGTAGATTTGTGAAAGGACAGATGTCTTGAGCTAGTACTGGAGAGTTGGATGGACTGGATTAGAATCCTGGACTGGTACACACGAGCTCTGTGACCTTGGGCAAGTTACTTATCCTCACTATTTTCTAGTTTCCTCATGGATAAAATGGAAATAATTAGCAAAAGTAGCTTGAAACTGTCTGAGGATTAAATAGGATAAACAACATGCCCTCGTCACACACGGTACGCGGGCAACAAATGTCACTTTCAAATGTTGCTTCCAAGACATTTTACACAACATTCTATTAATTTTTGATCTGGAAGGAACATTAGTACCATGTTGCCCAATTCCCAATTCAACCATACATTTTAGGAAATGTCACCTGGAGGGGACAAGTGACTTGTCTCGGGTCATTTACCAATCAAGAGAGATAGACTGGAACTCAAGTGCCCAGTAAAATGTTCTTTGGCCTCTCTGGGGTAGTAAAACCATAATTTTTCTTTGGTACATGACAAAAGTTACCTGTGTGAGTGCCCTGTAAAATGTGAAGCCTTGCCATATGGCGGTGAGAAAAAAATGTAAATAATGGCAAAGTCAGAAGGGAGCAAAAGTCATCTTCTGTTCACATTTGCTGAGGAGAGGGCTACAATGTGAACGTCCCTGTCAAAACTCACGCTGAAATGTAACAGTGTTGAGAGGCAGGACACTTAAGAGGTGATCCGGTCATGAGGGCTCTGCCCCCCTGAGGTTAGTTATCAGGGAAGTGGGCTCCTGGCAGAAGGACCAGGTCGGCCAGTGCCGTTGCTCTCTGTGCCGGTGTCACCTGCCCTCCCACCTCACCAGATATGGGCCTTTGATCCTGGGCTTCCTCGCCTCCTGACTGTGAGAAATACAGTTTTTTCTTTATAAATGAAACAGTCTGTGGTATTCTGATATAGCAGCAGAAAACGAACTATGACAGAGGGTAATAGTAATATTTTATACTAATGAATCAACTGGAGATGACTGTGAAAAACCTTCCCAGGGGGCCGAACCTGTGGCTCACTCGGGAGAGTGCGGCGCTGGGAGCGGGGTGGCGATGGTAGCGCCGAGGCCGCAGGTTTGGATCCTATATAGGGATGGCCAGTGCGCTCACTGGCTGAGCACGGTGCGGGCGACACCAAGCCAAGGGTTCTGATCCCCTTACTGGTCACCAAAAAAAAAAAAAAAGAAAAGAAAAGAAAAGAAAAGAAAAACCTTCCCAGGATCTTTCAAAAATTTTTCTAACAATATCCCTTTAAAGAAAAAGACCACTGTTTCTGAGGTAGAGAAGTTATATTATAGGAGCTAGAATTATGCTAGCTTTTATAGTAGGTAGATACTGTGTATCTGCAATGATTCTCTGAAAAGTCTAGGGATTCTGTAAAAATATACTGTAGAACATTTATGTAAAAATGGAAGAGCAAGCCCAGTAAGAAATATACCCAATTCCATTAACAAGGAGAAAAATAATGAAAAAAAAAAAAAAAAAAGGAAGAGACACTGGGATGCGGGCTAGAAACAGGTTTATGCAGGTAAATGCTTCTTTCTCTCCCTGTCTCTATAGTTATTGGACATGGGAAAAACCAACATCCTTCTTGACCTTCAGGAACTCAACCTTGACTTCTTTTTGTATAATAAGAACTTAAATATCCTTATTTTGGAATTTCATTAAGCACAAAGGGAACTAAGTGCTTATTCCTGTCTTACCCCTCACACACTTTGTGGACGGCCTGAAATGGTTGGCAGTAGACAAGGTCAAAGAATGCTGGGGCTTGGAAAGACTTTAGAGGTTCTGATGGCTGTGGGTGGAATAATCCAGGTGGTGCCTCATTCCATTCATCAGGAGGCTACTAGTTTATTTTCCTACTGAACATTATTACTTCCTATTTGTTTAGAACAGAAAAGGAAAGTTGCCAGCTGATAGCTACATATTTGAACCAACTGTAAAATTTTTGTTGAAGTCTACTTCTCTCTTGTGAGATGCCTGATTTTTACTGTCTATAAATGTCAGACAGGCTGATAATGACAGATGGTGATGATAACCCTTATGTGTACATAGGGGATCAAACTGGTGTCAGGAGACCTGGGGTCCACTTCTTAGTGTTGAATGGTGCTCTCTTTGCATGACTATCAAAGATCCACTATTTCTGTGTAATCACTGCTCAGTGCCTGCCTTCCCTCTGTAGACTACAATACAGACACCATAATTCCAGCCTACCTTTGTGCAAATGGAAATAATGGAGAAGCCCAGGGAACTGTATGTTAAAAACAAACTTAAGTCATTCACAGTTGAGATTTTTTTTGAGTCTCTTAGCACTAACCAAAATATAAATCCCACACAATATCCAAACACAATGTAATAAAAGTTATTTGCCATAAAGCAATAAGCATTTCATCCTCTTTAATTCTTTAGATTTAATTTAGCCCAATCATCACTTTTCTATTAAGATTTTCTTGTCTGGAGAATAATTAAAACAGAACATATGAGAATGAGCTCGTGGGATGAAAAGTGGAATGTGCAGTTCTGGAGTTGAGAACTGCTTTAAGTTTTTCCTGTCTGGAGTGAGGGTGGGGGTGTCTCAGGCTTCATCTGAGACTCACTAGATGTTTCTAGCTACTTTTGTGAGGGGGGGGGTGAGGTAAGAGAGGAAGAATGTGTCATAAAATCTTAAAAACAAAATTAACTTGAATTAAGAATATTTTTCAAAACAAATATGCAGGATGGTAAGTGGAGTAGTGAAGACGAGGCTCTGGAGCTGCTCAGGAGCACTGCTCTACAACAGAGTCAAGGTTACTGTCCCCAAGAACGCTGACCTAGAGAAGGGGGGTCTCCCTCGGGTGAGGACAAAGTGGTGGCTTCCAGAAGGGCTAAGACCTCTTACGGTCTTTGATATTGCAACTGAGATGCATTAGTCACACCACTCTGGTATGTACAGGTTATTTTTTCTCTGGGGAAATCACATAATATCACATTTAATTTGTCATGAGCCAGTCATGCCAAGCTGTGTTATTTACAGGCTTGTAGAAGCTAGAGTAACCCAGAAATGTAGACGAACCTAGGGATCGTGTATTTGATGTCGGGCAACAAATCTTTCTTTTGTCCAGTTGGTATTATGGAGAGGATTTTGACCAAGTACAAGAAATGGACTTATGACCTTTGAATGTTTCAGTCATGTCACCTATTTTAGCTACCTACTGGTTCATGTTCTCTTTACCATCATCTCTCTAACCTTGGCTCCAGCTATTTTCAATCAAGAGACAGCTTGTAAGCAGGGCATGGTGTTTTCATACTTAAGTGTCCTTCCTAAAGTATACCTTCTGGCAGAGCACCCAGAAGTGCAGATCTCTGTGTATCTATGGAGAAGCCAATTAGCATTTAGAAACGCCCAGGTCACTCCTGGTCACCAGAGATGCAGAGAGCCTACTCTCTGCGTGTGGTTTGTCACAGACGGCTGCGGCTGCGTCCCTCTTCACAGAGTTAGATACAGTGCTGCTGAGTCAGGGTTTCAAAAACAATGACAAGCTCAACTGAGCAAGGACCCAGACTCAGAACAGATGTTTCCAAGTTTTAACAAAACCAAATCTCAGCAGGTTTTAATATAATTCAAACAGTAGGCGCTCAAAGATTTGGCACACAAAGCAGGTTGATGGCTCTCTTCCCCTCACTTGTTCTAGTAGATTGTAACCCTATAATTCACTGAAATGAGCTCATTGTTTTCTGCTGAAACAGAAGGCCCTTCTTGCTGTTAAGAGTTTAGTGAAGGGGTAATGGGGAGTTAGTGTTTAATGGGTATAGAGTTTCAGACGATAGTTCTGGGGATGGATGGTGTAATGACTGCACAACAATGTGAACATTATGTATATTTTAGCACAATAAAAAAAGTTTAGTGAAAACTGCAGGCATGTGGGTTTGGAGAAGAAAATAGAGTTTTGGTACTGAATATGGGAAAACTATTCTTTCTCTCTTAAAATCTTTTCCTTCTGGTGCCCATATGGGAATCTAGCATTTTACAATATTAAAAGGCAGAACTTAGAACCTAAAATTAAGAGATGTTCTGAATAATCCTAATAGATAAGTCTTTCTTAATTAAATGGTAGTGACAAGGTTTTCTGACAAAACAAAAACCAAACAAAAAAACAAAACAAAATTGGGAAGGAATTTAACTTCCAAAATGCATGAAAAGGCACCCAAGCAAACATATTCAGTAAGTGAGAGCCAGGGGCTGGCTATCTTGGAGACACCCACACCGATTTTCAGATCTGTTTCGACTCAGCAGTTTACCTCTGGAAGGCACTGTCAAATGAACTCCGCAGTACTGGAAAGATGATATTTGATATTTTAAAATTTACAAAGAGTACTCAGAACATGAAAATATCTCTATAAAGGGCCTGAAACTGTATCAAGAATTTGTGTCCCTAACTACCTCCATTAAAGAACTATGTCAAAATTAGGATATTACTTTTTCCCAACACTTCAGGCCACTGTCAACACTTCAATCCCATATTTTCACTGTGAAGGGATAGATTATTAAATAATCTACAAACTGTCGTGAATGAGGCCTCTTCAGGGAAAGGACTATTATGCCAGCGGCATGCCACTCCAACTGACTGCAAGGGACAGACCTGAGTACGGCTCCTTCTGGGCTCAAGAGGAAAGACTGTTGGATTATAATGTCCACTGTGGGGCAGAGGAAAGTGTAATATTCGAATGTAGGTTAAATTAAGACAAGAGAGATTAATTAGCATCATCAGGACCAACACAACCAACACAACCAAAGGAGAAGAGCGTGGATACCTCTGAGAGCTACATTAATAGTTCTTCTCTAGGAATCCTAACTCTGTCCACCATCCTAAAACTTTGATTCCAATCTGAAATAGAAGTCAGAAGGACAGAGAGCATAGGCCTCATCATTTCTTTGAAGGAAACTGACCACCATGGATAGCTTGAGGTGTCTTCAATAAATTATTTTTCCAAAAGGTAGACAAGCCTATTTTTATTCTCAAGCCCGTTCTATACAACTGGACAGAACTCAGAACACAGCACAGACAAGAAGTCCTTGTGAGAAAAAGCATTTTTTGAAGAAAAGGCTGACGTTACTTCTTTGCAATATGAGGCTTAAGGGCCGGAGGTATGATACCAATTCTGATTAAAAAAAAAAAAATTTGTTGAAAGTAGTAAGAGGTGGAAATTCCAAGTGTTCAGGGGTAGGGGGGAGCATGTATCTCATGCATTTACTCCATTCAGGTATTTACAGTCAGTCCCTTGTCAAAATAGATGGGGAAGTAAAAAGGAAACTCATTGTACAACATAAGACTCAAAAAATATGATATTTCTCAACTTGAATAATTCTCAAATGTTAATAGTGCATGAATTTATTTTAAAGAAAAAAGTCACAAAACCCCAAATGTAAAGAATACATGCTCGCATTCTGAGACTAGCTGCAGTTTGAGAACAGTGCTCTAATTCAGAAACCCTGTGAATCTAAGTAAAAAAATAATTACTATGAAATACATCTGGTAAGATAATCTTTTATCCATAAATGAAAACACAAAATTAAAATAATCTCACAGAATTTTGAAATTCCTAAAGGGCTGAGCCCGTGGCGCACTCGGAGCGCAGTAGCACTCCCGCGGCGGGTTCGGATCCTATATAAGGATGACCCTTGCACTCACAGCGCTCACTGGCTGAGCGCGGTGCGGCCGGTCTCAAAAAGGACAAAAAAAAAAAGAAATTCCTAAAAATACATTATCAGGTTTTCAGGCATTGTCTGTAGATCCAAGTTTGAAACTGCTTCTCCAGTCTAAGACTTTGCACCTAGTGGTCCCAATACAAGTATTAAAAAATGTCCTGATTCATAAAATGCGCACTATAAAATTTTTTTTTAGATAAAATAGCCATTCTACCAAGAGGAGAGGAAAAAAATGAAGCATTGTAAATTTTAAAAATTTTTTTGCAAAAATGTTAAAATGAAGTAAATTTTAAATGTGACATTCATTTATAGTGTTCTATTACTTTGGTTGAGGAATATTTGGATGTTTTGCCAATGAGAACAGACTTTAAACATTTTAAATTTAGAAATTTTGAAATTTTCTTTAAGATATTTATAAAATTATTGTCAATAAACCTATTAATCAAGAAAAACAACAGCAACAACAACAAAAAGATAAAGTAGCCATTCTATTTCACCCCCTATTAAATGCCTGGCCCATGGTTAGGAGCTTAATATAAATTTATTGAATAAATGAATTAATGACTTAATGAATCCATACTAAGGCATTTTATTCTAAGACGCTGTTTTCATCGGTTGTGTGTGTGTGTTCCTCTCTCACAAAACTGCAAACTGGTATATATTCTTAGGGAAACCTGGCACAGATACATGATAGTTGTCTAGTCATTTTGGACTATATAGAGGACCTATCTTTGTACCCCTGCCCCTCTTAGGAAAGGTTTTCAGAAAAAATTTCCTTTTGCTGCTCTTCCCTTGTGTTTGACCTGGGAAGACAACAGTCAAGCCAATAGCTCAAACTAGTTGTCACCTTCCTGTGGGCTGCAGGTTTTTAGCATCCAATGGAAAGTGGCTAGGTTGTGGACTTACACATTAGAGAGATCTCACATCCTACACAAGTAGACACAGGGCATGAACTAGGGGCACCTTACAAAAGACTGCTGATAGCTTACATTGTAAGTAGCTTGTAATGAAATTATAACCTCCAACCCCCCTTTTAGGGGAAACAGGAGAAAAAACAAATACTTTTTGAACTAAATACATGCAATTTTTAATTCTAGAATGACAATATTTACTTTAAATATTTTGAAGTACATACAATTCTTAATTCCAGGTAAAAAAATAAGAAACCCAGAGGGTGGCGAAGTTTTTCCTAGGAATATATAATGATTTGTGAGATGGTGGCCAGCATTACTTCTCGTTGCACTCTGTGCTGTTGCCAGTAGGTCCCTTTCTCTGGTAATAGACATTTTCCTGGAAAACTATGACCACATAAAATCCTTGCCACTTAATTTTTCAGTTTCTGCTAAACTATGCCACTTTAAAATATAAGACTGTTAAAGAGTTAAAGGAAAAACCCTAGAAATCTACAGACATAGCCAGTATTTTCTAGAAAGTGAACTACAGGGCCACTTAGCATTTGTTAGGGATACCCAAATGAAAAGCTTAATTTCCTAATCTGAATCCCAATTTGAGAGATGAAGATATGCTTAGGCATTGGACTTGGAAATAACTGTTGCTCTTTTTACCCCATATTCTAATATTAGCTCAGCTGTTAATGGGCCTTAGAGGGGGAACTGTGCATATTCTACAAGCCCCTAGAAGTGCACTTTTAGTAGTACTTGAAAAGTCAGCATGTCCTATGTAAACTACTTTGCTCTTAATATACACAATGCACCATTATTTAAAAGGAGGGGGGTGGGGCTGAGAAAAAGTGGAAGTCAGTCAAGAACTCAAATTCATTCATTATAACTTTCCTGCAACCAAGAAAACAGGACTTTCAAATTGTTTCTTTGGTCACTTTTAATAAATATTGTGGATATATGTAGCTACAAAGAGAGGGGGAGGATTTGGAAGGAGAGAAGGCACTCACCTAGTTCGGGTGCTTTGCTTAGCACAAATGCATAAGCCCAGAATTTGCTGACAGGTCCATTGTAAAAACTCTGGTCACAAACTGACTGCTTCAGGCCTTTGGTCATCAAAATGTACACCATATAAGCACCAGTTCGAAGAGCACCGAATATACTTCATAATGAAAAGAGAAGAGAAACAATATTTAGAAAAATAATTTCATTCCTGGACATAAAACCTTACTTAGAAGACTGGTTGGCCATCGGCAGGAAATAGACATAGAAGAATCGTAATAGTTTGCATTTACCTGGAAATATCTGAGGGTGTTCTGCAAATAAGAACTAATACTATTCTCAGTACTTTATTCTGAAGATCATATGCCATACCACTTACTCTTTATCAACATTCCAAAAAGAGGTCATGGAAAATGGGAAGAGATACAGAGAAGGATCTCATGAAGAACCCTGGTGACCTTTGTATTTCAGCTGAAGAGCTGTTCCTTGGGAAGGAGATGGGTGTGGCTGCAAACTCTTGAAATTATCTCAATTCTATCCTACGTTCAACACTTTTCCAAGTCCCACTGGCTCTATTCCCCTAAAAATCTGTTTCTCTCTTTAAACCAACTCTTCCTCTATGTCTGGACTGCCCTTTAATAAGGGCCTCCTTGGCCTCTCCTTGGACTCCTGCAGCAGGCTCCACACCACTGTCCTTGGTGACCCCTTCCTTCCCACTCTCTGATCCATCTTTCTCATAGAAGCCAGAAAGAGCCTCCTTCAAAACTTAGCTCTACTGTCAACCTCCTCCAGGAAGCTCACCCAGGAAGAGATAAGTGCAAGCTTGCTTCTCTGAGCTCCCCAGAACCATGTACTAAAACTGCTCTAAAACTGTTCTTCAATGCTCCATAATGTGTTTGTTTCCACATAGGCAAAGGTGGTCAAAAGACTACTGAAAAGGGAAAGATTGTTAAAAATATGAAAAAAAAAACAACCCCAAAACCCAAAAACCCCAAAACCTGACATATGAGTTTTTTAAATCACAGAACTGGTAAGGAAACAGGAGAGCCCTTCAACATGTTGAGCTCCTGAAGTGTGAAAGGACTTGGCAACTAGAACGAGCAGCCTCCCTTATGGAGTGAACCCCTGAAGTGTGGGTCTCAGAGTATGCAAACCACACCCTGGATTGAAAGGAGAGCTGGCCGACCACATGCGGGAGATGTGCCTACCTAGCCTTCTCCTGCCCAAAAGAGCAGCATCCCCTCTTAGAAGTCAGTGGGAGATAAACGAGCGAGCGAACAACTGTTGAATTGAGTGGCAGATGCAGACCTGTGATTCTTCTGAACCACCAAGCATAGTTTATAAAACATTGCCTTCCTCACTGACTCCAGCCCAGGGTACCCAGAAATCACACCAGCCCAGAGCCCCTCCTCTACTGCACTTGCTGCTAGACTGTGCGTGTGCTTCACTCATGATCAGAGTCGATCCAAGGAAAGAATGTGTGAAATAGTTACTTTTCTTTAATCTTCCTGGGTTTCAAAATCATTGTAGTTTATTCCCAGTTTCTGAAGTATCAACACAATTTATCCTTTTAATCATTAATAATTTATCAGCATGGTTTTAGATGCTGGGATGACAAAAATTAATAAGCTAACTCTGGCTGTTGGAAGTGGTCCTGGAAGCCTTCAGAGGAAGTGGCACCTGAGTTAGGGGCAAATACGTATGCACAAGTTTGAGAATTAGGGTAGGGGGAGGTCATTTCAGACCATTGTAGAATTGTAGGTTTTGATATCATGGTGACCCACAATATTGCTGACAACAAGCGTAAAGCACATATTATTGTCCCATATCTGAACATAAGCCTCATTCCCTAAGCTCTGAACAATAAGGCTGACTCAGAATAGAGGACAGTGGCACTTTTCAGGGAAACCGACAGTGCCAGCCATTGGGCCCGTGTGTCTGTGGGCAAAGGCGCATTGTTGCGACGTGACAATGTGACTGTTGGGGAGCAGTGGGGGATCTGCTCAGCCAACAGGATGATTGTTATTTGTGGGAAGCCACTAGCTCTGCCCCTGGCACATCTCAGCCATTGCACACTTCAGAATCAAGTGGTTTTTATTATAATAGTGTCACACTGTGACACTTTCCCAAAATACACTCTAAGGTAAGGAGACAGTTTTTCCTCCCTAAGTGACGTTATCTTGAGAAACAGCATGATGGAGCGGGCAAACACGAAGTTTACGCTATCCTGCCCCAGTCCTTATTTATGTCCACGGCAGGCACTACTGCTGATTGGTCTTGGCACTCCTCCTGGCCATGCCAGTACTAGCATGGAAGTTCTTAACCACTTTAAGCCACTACCAGTAGATCAGAGTTGCAAACTGAAGCCTTTATACAGTAGGCTCCAATCACAGCTCAATCACTTACTAGTTTCATAACTGGGCGAGTTACTTAAGGCTTTTTCATCTGAAATGAGAATAACATCTAACTTGCAAAAGTAGTTTAAGTAAGGCATTTAGTTAGCATCAAGCCTCAAATACATAGGTAGCCCAATAAAGCAGTGTTTATTATATTCTTATTCTATTACTATTTGTTGTTGTTATTACGGCTGCTTTACTTTGTCTATCCCTCAATGTTGAAAATCATCTTTCCTTCTCTCATTCTGTCATGTAAGAGAGGTTAACGATAATTATCCATAATTGAAAGTCAAGGAAATTGACTTAAGGAGAACTTGATTGCTCGTATTATTCCCGTTGCTACGGCAACTTGCACTTGTGTATTTTTCCGGGTTTATTCTCGGCCGGTTGACAGGGCTGAGGCTCCGTGTGACGCGCTCGTGTCTGTGCTGGTCTCTCACTTTCCTCCGGGCCTGGCAGTCACCCTTCCCCTTGCTGGGGGACATCACTGGTCTTTTTATAAAGAAACATTCCGTCCACACCACGGCACCCTCCGGGGTTTCCAGAGGCCTGCGGAGGCCACCCCCTGCACGGCGACACTTCCCCTGCCCCGCGGAGGGACGCGGACTCCCAGGGTGGCGTTGCTGATCTGAGCACGGTCAGGGAGCCCTTCAGCGCCGGGTGTGCAGGCGGCTCCACGCTGGGCCGGCCCCGTCCCCATAACGTTGGACATGTGCCAACTTTTCACAATAAGTGAAAAGCCAGCAAGTTCACAGTAGGAAGTTGCTGGTTTTCCACAGAACGTCTTGAAGGAAAGGCCGTTGGTACAGGAAAGCATCTGGCTCACGTGCAATACATGTTTCAATCTGGTGATGCAGATTATTCCAAATCTAGTGCCTCAAATAGGCTGAGTTTGGGCCACTGTGTTTAATGAGGGCAGATGACTGTTATATCACATGTCTTTTCTCAGCTGTAAGGTCATACTGGCATACTTTTATTTTCCTTTAAAGAAATGTATCATTTTTTTCTTGTCGAAGCCTAGTTTTGATTAGAACAGTCAATGGAGTAGCACAGAGCTCAGTGGAGAGGGCATGGATATTTCTGCTCTCCCTCAGCAACAACGCAGCAAGAATGAGGGGCGGTCACAGCCCTCATTAGCTGAGGCTTTTCTTTTCAAACCACTGTTTTGGATTCTAGTCCAGAAAAAGCCTGTTTCTTCGTCATTAGCCATTTGTCATGGCATGTCCTCAATGAGGTGCCAAGAATACCCACTGGGTAGTTAATTGTGATACTCCATGGGTGGGGGTGGGAGCCTTCTGTTTTTGTACTATATACTTTTCTACATTATTTGACTATTTTAAAGCCAGCATATTATTACATTGATAATTTTTAAAAATCTGTTTTAAATAGGTGCCTGGCCACAACTGATCCACTGAATACACAATCACAATGGTACGAGCTTGCAAGACTTTACTAGTGAATTTTTTAGTATGAAGTTGGGACATAACGCTAATCCTTGATTAGCCCTTGGATGACAAAGTGGCATTAGGACTGGTACAGAAAAGATTGTTTCACTTATTGAATCAACACCTACTTAATCAACATCCACTAAGTGTCAGATATGATAGTATTCACTAGGGTGGGGAGAGAAGATCTACAGCCTATCGCAGGAGACAATAAACATACATATGATGTGTGTGTGTGTGTGTGTAAAAAGCAATAGGAACAATTAGTGATGATGACAGAATACTGAGAGAATGCATATGTATATGGTTGGGATTCTTCTTTGGATATATACATAAGCAGTATAAGAGAGATATAGCTAAGCTTCTTTAAAACCATGCTCTGACCGTGAGGTCTGACCATTTATTTACTTGAGAAAAGATTGAATAATTCTGTTTTCCAATTTATTGCCATCTGGAAGTCAAAATGGAATATCCAAGTAATGACTAAGAATACCCTGGGAAGAGACTTGTGTATAAATCATGAAGACTTTCAACTATTTCCATTTTCCACATGAACATCAGTAGTTGATAAAAACCACTTTTACTTTGTTCCCTTACTGGCCCTCAACTTCAATGTAAAGTATTTTGGAATCAAAAGCCCTTTTATTCTGAAGTGCCTACATCCCCAATCTCCACCCTAACTCAAAAACCAAAAGCACAATTACTTCTAGGATTGGGTGATGAAAATGTTTTATGACACTTCTATCCTTCAATTGGAAAAAGAAAAAATGGTATGAGATTTTGTCAGCTGTCAAAACATGGAAACAGCAGACCCAACAGTAGCAATTCTTTATAAACACAGGAGAGGTCACTGATTTTCCTGGTAACAAAACCTGAACTGCCATTGGTCTTGACTCTGACAGTTTCCAGAGTACAAAGACTATCCAATGATCCCAGAACAGGTTAAAACAAATTAACAACCCTCAAACCCATTAGATTTGGAAGATGATACAGGACTACAGTGCCTGCAATACAGAATCATGACATCTCCATGTCAATATCATGTTTCTACTGACAACCCAAATTCTAACCCTGTCCACACCTGATGACAGGCATCAACAGTAGAGAATGCCTCCTTTACATTGGTCTAGTGTGTTAGCCTTTGCAAAAATAACACTTTTCAATAATAACATTACAAGCCATCGAGTATGGATTTCTTTTCTTTTTTTTGTCTAAGTCAGCAGTTAATTGGGATGTATATTGTAGTTTTCATGACAATTTACTTCCTCTATTCCTCCTCTAACTATTCATAGTGTATAATTTCACTTTATCTTTTTACT